TCTCTCTCTCTCTCTCTCTCTCTCTCTCTCTCTCTCTCTCTCTCTCTCTCACACACACACACACACACACACACACACACACACACACACACGGTGAATGTGCAACGGAACAGTCTGGCACAGTCATGCTTTTCCTGTGGAGTTGTATTTACCGAACGGACAACACACGCGCACAGATACATCGACCGAGAGGAAAGAGAGCGACGGAGACAGACAGAAGGTCAAACTCCAGCACAGTTAGTAAAGAAACACGGGGTAGAAGGGAGAACGGAAGGATGTGGACCGACCATGCGAGAGAGAAAAGGATGACAAAGCCTCCTCACCTCTCCTTCTAACTCCACCTTCTAACTCCACCTCACTCGCCACGACCGGCAAACCGGTCAACGCGGTCAACGCGGTCGTTCTACGTTACCGCCACGCTTTACTCGGCTTTCCTCACACCACAGCCACAGCGCAGGTGAGAGCAGGTGAGCGCAGGTGGAGCGCAGGTGAGCGCAGGTGTGCGCGGTGCACCGGTGCCTACGGTAGTGTCTGGGACGTTAGGGTTGCGTACCCTGCTGCCAAAGGACAGTGGGGATCACGGCGTGGCTGGCTACCGCGAGAATGCACTGTGCCACTGTTAGACCACCCCAAGCGTGGAGGCAGGGGCTTTCCTTTGTGCGTGTCCAGCCAAAGAAATGTTGCAAGTTGTTGCGGCGCAGCAGGCCTGATGCAGGGCTGATGCAGGCCTGGCGTTGGGTTTGGGTAAGGAACTTGCTTTTGGTGAAGTGTGGCGGAGGGGGGGCTCCCCCATGTACAGATTGGTTTGTTTGCTATCCGCAGACGGGGGTGTGGAGAGCACACACCCCTTTCCCCCCCATGTACAGACTAGGGGACATTTGTTCGCAGCCAGGATGGCTGCGTATACATGGATGTTTTTTGTTGTATAGGGTCGGTTTCGTTTTGGGGAATGCCGTGGACCATACTTAGGAGATCAACGCCCTAAGGAGTGAGCGACGTTCGGGTTCAAATACGTCTTAACTATCCGTACCTATACTACAACGAGACGACTAAACGTCATCGATTGACCTACCTTTACGATTGCATGTAAAAGCTTACGTATATGGGTCAATAGCTTGGTAAGGATACGCCCTTAAGGGTGGTGACAACCCCTTAGAGAATGTAAGTTGTGCCTCATGGGAACCTATCTTGTTGTAGTGGATCCCGAAAAGTACAACTGGTGCACCCGGTTAAAGCGCTGAAGGGACGATGCAACCACGTCTGTCTTAGATGTTCGCGAGTTTTCTTTCACGTCGTTGCCTAGTTCTCTCATTTTGTTTTATTTAA